GGCCAAGGTTTTGTCAGCCTTGTTGAGTTTTCATTCCCTCTTTTTTCGGGGGGGGGGGGGGCACGTTCCCCCAGGCCCCCCCCCCCGGCCACGCCACTGCATTTCAGAGATGGTGGTCGCTATGCAACGCTTGCCCCGAATTACGAGGTATAGCAACAGTGTCTTTTAGTCTGGGGAATTCGACTCACATTTATGTGCTATCAGATAACTCAGTGCACCAGGTTGTATTCAAAATTTAACTCGCAAAAGACTAATTTTGAACTCTCGGAGAAAAACTACGCAAAATGGGTCTCGGTAGAGCTGTTGATTGAAGGACTGAGAAAAAAGAAACGATGGGGCAGATGCGTTTTAAAAATTCGGCGGAAAGGTTGAAGAATTTAAGGGAACTGACATTTTGCTTCTATGAAAATGTCGCAAACTTGATCATTTGAGGGAGAGAAAAAACCCAGTTTCCCAACTCGAACCGCTTATTCAGATGGGAGGCTTTATACACATACATACATACATTTAATGATATCATATAGGCTACATTTGTAGTAAAAATAGGCCTATCTCCAAACAACATCAGCGACACTTGTTAAGTTGTTTCAACATCATTCGTTCGCACACAGCCTTGGAGGTTATAGCTCCTTGCGTCTTCCTCCCCCGGGTCTGTGTGCCGCCTCGGCGTCGATTGATCGGCACGTCACGGCGGTCGCGATCGCCATCTTCAACACCTCTGCTTCCCGCCCACTGCAGGTCCCGACTCAGCTGCCGACGTCCACCGAGAGTGGTAAGTCTCGCGCGCGAGCAGCACCACCCAATTATGGATGCTTTCTCTCCCAGTGAGCCCCGTGGGAGGTTAAGACACACTACTCCCGACTTTTCCTCCAGATTCGAGCTCACTTCCCAGACTGTGTCACCAGAACCTTCTCCGGTGTTACTCATGGCCCGGTGTGGCATAGAATCTGGACGCCTTTAGAAATCTGGTCTCATTTACTCTGCATAAGTTCCTAGCCTCACTCCTGACCACAATTTCTCGCTTTCTTGTCCGATGAGACATGTGGAAATACCATGGGGCCCAAATTCTTCACAGCGTCTAGTTTCAGCGGTTGGGGTCCTGTCAGAGGAACAAGTGCTTGGAGAGCAGAAAACAAAAGCACGTATAGCGTCTGAATTATTTCCTTACGCCTGATTGGTGGATCGCTGATGCACGTGTCATGAATTCTTTGCTCTAACACACGGTGCGGCCGCACCATAGAAATGGAACGTTCCATTCCGCGAGTAGAATGATCGATCAATGTTCCTTCCATCCATCTATCCATTAATTTGCTAAGTTTTTAACAGGATTTAATCAGACGTGTCCAACAAATAATCACCGTTTCAAATTCTTGCAGTCACTGCAGTGGAAAAAAATTGTCTTTCATCGACAGATGGAATATTCCATTCCACAGGGTTTCTTGGCTTTGCCTTTTGGAATAGAACATTTCATCTGCACATATCACTCATTCTGTACATACATAAGCTAAAACATGCCTACCCCATCACAAAGTTTACTGCTCGCGCCTCCCAATTTACCTAACCGTGTCCACACGACTTAGCATCTTTCAGTCCGCAAAATTAAGTTTTCCCTTATACATGTAACTCTGCCAGTGCACCGAGAGAGTGTCATTCAATACGACCCTCCTTCCTCTATGGTCTGATGAGGGACTTTTGGACTCGAAAAAAAATTCGGAAGTAGGGATACAGTGCAAGGCCTACTGCGCTACTGTTTCTAATTTCTGTGCTCTCTATTTCTAAGTTTGGATTTCATTTTTATTTCGACCAATACGAGCAACCGGAACTAGACAACGTCCGAACAACGTCTTTCTTTCTTTCATAAAGTATGTGTGAACGGTGTCTCGAGTCGCTGAGCAGTTGTTTGTCCAGCGGTTTCGGCAAATATCGCGTTGGAATGAACGAAAAAAATTACCATAAAGCTAGTTTCTATGGAAATCAGTGAATAGTTGAGAAATTACCAAACCGAATGAATGAAATAAAAAGAATAGCACATGTTACCGCCGGCGACGCTGATGCAGAGAGCCAGTCGTTATGCAGTCGTCTCCGGTACACCAATGCAAAGCGACGCCGGACCCGTGAATGGCGAGGTCGCGGAAAAGAGTAACCGACCGCGACGCGCGAGGCGAACCGGCCGGCCCCTCCCCGGGGAAATCTCCTCGGTGGTTCACCGGGTTTGTAATGTTTGACATTTCCAGACTTCCTCTTAAGGGCGGCTGGCACTCGGAGGTCACACGCAATCTGGCAGGCGCGATGTGCGAAAAATTCCTCCGGGGACTTGTAGAAGAAAAAAAACACACACACACAAACAAAAGCGCTTTTTGTGACGGAGAAGATTTTGCTAATGGTACGTGGTATTCTCAGGCGGTTGTATCACCGAGGAACCTTACGGCCAATTATTGCATTTTGTCGGGGCCTTTGGGCCCGCATGATGTTGGCCGTATTTACTATGTGTGAACCATCCTTTAGTTTGGTTCCCTTTCACGACGATCCCCGACGTCTCTTTGAATTTACCATCGCTTCAGCTATACTCCCAGCATTTTGATTGTAGGACATGGCACACCAAAGCTTTCTGTCATACTGAGTGTATAGGCCTACGTGACGCGCGCATGCGCATATTTCCTTTTCGTAACGCTCGGTACTTAATTGTATTTTCGAATGCATGCTCTGATCAAAGAATGAGCCAGGTCGGTATTTAAGGCAAGAAGCAAGGTCATTCAGCACGTATGTTTCAGAGGGAAATTATTAACTGCGGTGTCCTATTTAAGGGTCATTTGCATACGTGATGAGGACCATGAGAATTCGTGCCAGGCAAGCAGCTGCTTCATGGCATTTACGTCTTATTTTCACTCTATTGAAAATAAAAATTCCCGCCAAAATATTTTCATAGTAAGATAAGGCCTTTCCCAACGTGGTGTGTGAAATAAAATTGAGGAATATTACCACAGTCATATTAGTGATTTTTGTTAAAAGCTCTTTTCGTAAGCGGTAGTTTGTTTACGTTTTGTTGCGATTTTTGAAGGCTCGAAACAAAGAATTCGAAGTTTTCCTGAAGGTTTCAAAAATGGAATGTGGTGGAGAAAGGTGTGAAGGTTTTTGTGTTTTCTGACGGTTTTCCGCTTGAATTGTGTCTCTTCCCGACCGGACGCGTTTGCATACATCTTGACCTAACTTAGCACCGGTTCCGTTTATCCTGCATAATCCTACGACTCAAAATTGCGAGCGTAAGAATTCAGTGACTCGGGAACGAAAGACGAACACAAAAGTAAGGTAAGTTAACATGAAGTTTATTATTGAAAGCGAGGTCTATCTGTCACTATAACATTGCCAGGAAATGTTGAAATTGCCGCTATTTATCCCCAGTTTTACATGTACTATACATGCACAAACCACATGAAAACGTACACCGGCTCCAACGAGGATTTCCGTGTACGTTTGCGTGCACGTGTACGCCGCGTTACACGCGTATAAGAGGCCACAGTGTACGGTGCACAGTACGTGGCTGGATCGGTTTTGTGCATATAAAACGTGCAGTATCGATATCGCACAGAAGCATCATATATAACTCATGAAAGTCGAACACAAAATCTAGCTAGATCGAACTGTTGTAGATCGAACTGA